TGACTCGGCTCAAGAGCACCTATACCAATGCACGCAGCGTGAGCAACAAGCAGGAGGAACTGGAAGCCATTGTGCACCAGGCTAACTACGATCTAGCTGCTGTTACTGAAACATGGTGGGACTGCTCCCATGACTGGCGCGTTGAGATTGATGGCTATAAGCTCTGCAGAAGGGATAGACAAGGAAGGAAGCCAGAATATTCATCAATTGAACTGAATTGATCCTGCAATTCAGGAACCTCACAAGCAACCTTGTGAAAAAAGAGTCTTAAAAAAAAAAAAAAAAAAAGAAAAGAAAAAGGAGAAAAAGGTAATCAGCATACCAGCAGCTGTTCTTCTTTAAACCATGGTTCCCAAGCATACTGCAATTGGACAAGCTATAGCTTATCACATCAAAAGCCATCTAGAAGATTCACTTATTGGTACTGGCCATGTCGGCATTCGCTCACTGTAAGCATCTGCAGGACAAGTCCTTGGACCGAATGACCTTGTGCACCCATCCTTCTGTCTCAGCTGCAAGAATAATCCTCACTCCCAGCCATTTCCAGTTTTCTTTCTTACAAAAGATGAAAGGTATAAAGAAGCTCTTCATTCAAAAGTTACTTGATTATACAAACAACTAAATTCCAGCCTGCTTTAATCCAAAGTGCCATCTAGTTTGCATACAGAGAACTAGGGTGCATATAGGAAAGAACGCAAGCACACTCTAGTTTTCAATGGCCAGAATATCATAATAAACACATAGAAAAACAGCCTTTACTCTGGAGGCTTGTATGGCAAAGCCAATTGTTTGGACCAGCTCATTAATATACTATATCTAGTTTGTCAATTCCAGCTACGTATTTTATACGTCATTATGATCAATGATTGTGGAAGCCCAAAGGGCAATCTCTCATTTTCAACAGACTTCCTTTTTGACAGAGATGGAATTTATTACATTTAAAATTCATCACTCCTCTTTGTTTGCAACACTGTCCTCTGACAAACTCCTCAACACAATCAGCTCAAGTCTTCTACCTGAATTTCTGGGATGACTGTGACAAGTATTCCTTCACGATGCTCAGATGTGCACTGTCTCCCATGAGCATCTTGCTGGACGCAGCATGCTGCAGCATCTTTGCAACAGAGCCAAGATTTCTTCATTGATCTGCAGTCAGCTGCCCTCCAGCTGAAAGATCCATTAGGTCAAATGCATCCGGTGCCACCATGGCTGGATTCACGTAGCGGTGATAGAGTAAGTTGCCAACAATCTAGGACAAGTTGAGGAGAGAAAAAAACACGTGGAAAACCAATGGCACAGACCTCCACTGAGTTTTACTGACACTACTCCGAGTGAGTTCTGACCAATTACTTTCCTGTGAGCTGTGGGCCCCGTTCCAGATGCAGGGTCAACTGCGCTGCCTTTAATAAGCACATGCTGTCCCAAAGAATCTTAGTTTCACACTGTCACATAGATACATACACTAAATAAATGCACAACTGTGCATTTAATCCAGAAGTAAGAAACTCAGAAGTACCGAAGATGAGCGGTATTTGACATTTCAAAAGAAGTCCAATTCACCAGCTAAGTGAGCAGCAATGAACGCCGAGGCCCCAAAGATAAAGACAGCCCGTTATCCACGTGCTCATCCATCTACTTCTAACCCGTATTGGACATTTGCCTGCAGTAATTCCCACAACAAAAAGGCATTGGCCCAGCACGCTGACATGCAGCAAAAGTTCCCACGCCACATGCTTCAGTATTTCCTGGAGTTTCACATCAATCTGCGCAGAACCAAGTCACAGAATCTGGGCTTCTCCTGCTTCACGTGCGATTTGAATGCACAGAAGAGATCAGAGGTGTGAAGAAATGGCAAAAACAGAAAGAAGCAGCTTCGCCATTGCTAAGCTGACCCAGAAATTAACTGCTTTCAGAGAGGTCATGGTTTTGACAGCGGTTTCAGCTCTTGCTCTACTATCCCAGGTGACGGCACATGGTCACAACAGACAAAACTGTTCACTACCAGTCATAAGAAACACATTTGTGAGAGAAATCATATTGATAATAGTAAAACATGTAGTAGGAAGACAAGAACAGTACACTGTAGGAGTAGTTTTAGGCCCTAATGCATCTACAGGCAGTCACCGCACACAGCTGCAGTTCAGAGTGCGGCATGGGCCGTGACATTGTTTCCACAAGGATTAATAAAAACTGCAGCTTTCCACCTACATTTACAGATGGAAAAAATGAATTCACCTGCACAGAAAGAATCGATGCCTCAGAACGGGAAAGCACGGAACCAGAAGAGAGAAGAAAACGGCATTCAGATTGGGAATTACTTCGTAATGAAGCAGAGACAGAAAAGCTTAAAGAGACTGGGGCAAGTAATATCAAAGCCACTCTTTGTTTTATTAAGAAGAAGAGCACTCACAGACAGAAAGACCTTCAAAATAACAAACGCCAGGACAATCCCAATGAAAGCCACAATGCTGTGCTCATTTGGAAGCATTTACTACTAACATCCTTCTCGTTCTCTAAAGTACGGAAATGTACAACACAAAACTGCCCACACCTCATGAAAAATGACACCGTATACTTTGTTGCAGCTACTGCAATGCCCCAGAATATTGTAAGGGAAGTGAGAAGAGTAGAATTCTGCACACGGGCCTTTTCAACTTGGCACTGTCTCTTTAAAAAAAGAGCAACTGACTCAGATAACACCAGCAAAACCAAGGTGCACCATTCAGCAGCAAGAGCATCCCAAAGCCAAGAACCCTAGGGGGCACAATGCCCAAGATATTAAAAGCAAAAGGAAAAGCAGTAGGGTGACTTCTTCTGAACGCTGTATTATGTCTCCTTTGATAAACATGTATCCAGCAATCCAAAGCACAGGGCAAAGTACTTTATACCCATAACAACAAATAGCCTGTCTACTTAAACTGCAGCTTTGAAACTTCTCTGCACACGTACACCCAACAAACAACACTGAGATCCATCTGCTGCAGTCAGCGTGGCTTAAGATTAAGAGCTTGTTCAGGTGTAACATCATACAGCAACTTGCTATTTGGAAAAGTCAGATGTGAAGGTGAGCACTCCTCAGCCTAATATACTTTTGTCAGTGCCAGGCAGAATTTTTGGCTTGACACACAAACAGATCCACGCTCACCTGGCTGCAAAGAGCTGCACGCTTTCACTTTCATTAGAATGCTAGCACTGAAAGAGCAAAGGACTTCTCATGTCCTCTGCTGTCCCTGCAGCAGTCGCTGTGAGAACAGGCCCAGCTAACTCTGAACTGTATCTTTCTGTACCACATGCAGACACGCTCTCTAGAGTCAAGAAGGTCACCTGCGATACGCAGTAGTACCTCAGGTCGCAAATAAATCAGTGAAAACACAAGCTGCACATTGCAGTGTTAAGATAGTAACTCACGCAGCGTGCTGCGCTGGGACAGTTGTCTTTTACTTCATAGCATTGCTTTTCCACCACTTCCCTTTAAGTGCCTTAAAAACAAAACAAATACAACCAACAACAGAATCCTCAAAATCTGGTCAACATCAAGCACTGGAAGAAACACAGAACTCTGACTGGGGACGGATGGGAGCCCATCAAGAGTTTATAGACACAGATTAAAGGGAGGACAGGGACAGATGACGTAGCGGGGGATCTACAGGCCAACCAACCAGGATGACCACGTGGATGAAACCTTCTCATGGGCAGACAGGAACAGCTGCATGCTGTGATTCTATGAACACGGCCTGTGTTGAGAAGGAGCACAATGCTCATCTTGTTCCAACCCCCCGCTGTGTGCAGGTTCACCAACCAGCAGCCCAGGCTGCCCAGAGCCACATCCAGCCAGGCCTTGCACGCCTCCAGGGATGGGGCATCCACAGCCTCCTTGGGCAGCCTGCCCGAGTTGTGGGCAGAGATTGGCTTGGTAGAGTAAGAGCTACGGTATCTGTATCTATGAGTTAACACAGAAGAAATGCTCTGGGGCTTTTCTTGGCCTATCTCTTCATGAGATTCACTTCTAATAGGCTCAACACCCCTGTCACAAGATGATCTTTATACCTTTCAGAAGAAAGCCATCTCGAGCAGATGGAAAAAAGCTGGTATCCATTGGACAGATGCATGCAATGAATACAGGGATGGTTCGGAACGATTAACAGAGCAATGCAAAGCAGCTGAGCAACTTTCAGAAAAAAACAGTAGCAACAGCTTCCATACCTGGCCTCACCATTCTGAGATCCCATCTGGTTCACCCAGCACTTGTAAATATCCACTGGATCCGTTCTGACGTTGAGCGATTCGTCCTCATTTATTTCCTTCACAACTGGGGCCAAGATCTGCCTCAGTGCGTTCTCACCACGGGCACCACGGTTGAAAGAGCGCATCTCAAAAATACAGAGGAAACAAAGGGAGTTCTACACAGGCACAACTATTTTCTTTCAGTATTTCAACAAGTAAGCAATCAGCAACAAAAGCCATTCACAGCATGCCGCTATGGGAAATCCAGCAGCAGAGAATAAAGCATAGACATGCACTTTCCTGAACTACTACTCCAAGAAAAGATAATAATAATTAAACAAACCTTTTAGGTGTTACCTGTTGGAGGGCACATACCATCCTCATACTTAAAAGCATCAAAAAAGGCATGACTGCCTCCAACATTACATGTATTTGCTATTCCTAGCAAGTTGTGAAGCTCCGTATCAGCCAGAAGTCATAAACACCAAACTCCTAAGTGGCAATCAACTCAATTATGCCGACAGACAGCCAGAATCCTTAAGCCTGACAGCCAGTAAAAAACCCAAACCAGACAGCATCTGATTTTCAGCCTCCTCATCAGTTTTGGAAAACAGTGACCTTCGCGTCAGCTTCACTCTGGCCTGTAAAGCCCAAGCTCGCAGTCTGTGCCAAGTCCTTCTTACTAGACAGCAGAGAACTTAGATGGGAATGAATCTTAGGAAAGCACTGCAGTAGATCAAAAACAGTGCCTCCCTGAGCAAGAAAGCACTGGCTAAAGAAAAATGGCTTTAATCCTAAAGAACAAAGGTAATTCCTCCTCCTTCCAGGTTACAGAAAGGACTGACGTGAAACAGCATGAGCAGAAGGCAGGGACAGGTCAGCATTATCAGCTAATGAGCACGGGACATCACACAACAACAGCTGCAATTTTAGCAGCGGCCCAAACTCAGGCAACAGCAAGGCTGTGTCCTACGCTACAACGTACTTGATCTCTTCCTGCAATGCTGTTTGCAACAGCCGCAACAGCAGAGATTCCTCTCTCTGACTGGATGCGTAGTTATGCAGCGTGAAGATGGCTGAATCCATGAACTCTGTGGGTTTGTTTTGAGGCATCTGCAAAAGCAGCTTGGCCAAGTACGTTGGAGTAGTCTAAAACAAGAAGAAAAAGTACTTAGTGCAAGTGTATAATCAATGACTATTAAGATGTTGTCATTATGAAATAAACAAGAGAGTTTGACAAAGCAGACTAAGCTAACAAAAGGAGAATAAATAGAAGGCTTACCCCTATCCTGGGCTCACTTACAAAACTCCAGCAGAGCAGATCTCCAGACGAGATCCTTCCCCACTGGTAGCCAGCTCTTAAACAGGTCTAGGAGGGCTGTAGCCTGGCTGCACCCCTTCCAGCAGCACAGCTGCATTGCCTTCACCTGTGCTCCTCTGCCTGACTCACTGCTCGCCTCAGGTGATCAATCAGAGGTTCAGGCCATGACTCAGCAGTTCCCATACAGCACGTGTCCACAAAAGCCAACACCACAAAGACAGACAGCGCCTCAACACTGCAGAGCATTTAAGCACAGACTGTTCCAATACACGTAAGCATCTATGACAAGAGCAGTGAATGAAAAGCTGCATACCTCAAGTAGAAAAGATGCTGATAGGCTTCCAGCTTTTCCCTCTCCTCTTTGCTCCAAGCTTTCAAACCTCCCTTTTGCTCGTTCAGCGTCATCACGTCACAGAGCTGTTCCTTGTTCTCCTTGCTAAGATTTTTGCTATGAGAAACAACATCCTGCAAAGAACACAGAGGGACAGATTCCACATTTAAATAACACGCAATATGGGAAAAAGCTGCATGATAGCACTTCCTTTTGTGTGGATAAGGCAGTCAAGGTACATCAGGAGATCATGAAGTGAAACATTATCTGTTACAGCAGCGATTTCTGACTTGTCCCCACATTCCAGAATTGGTTGAGAACCTACAAGGACTAAGAGCAGGGACTACTGTCACAGCTGGTAGCGTTCTGAAGATGCTTGAAAATGCCTTTCTTTCTCAACTGTGCTTGAAGCCCCAAGCCCTGCTTCCATTTTGCTGACTCCCTGCCTCCACTGCTCTGATAACGATGATACTTTTTGCTGCCAGCATCAGCCCAAGAGCTGGAGCCTCCTTTGGAACTGAACTTCACTGCTGCCATGGTTCAGATTTTACACAAGGTCAAGCCTAGCGCCACGCTATTCAGGACCAAAGGAAAAGGTGACTGTAACTTCAGCTTGAGTTAAAAAAAGGCACCGCTGTATCAGCAACGTTGTTCTTGTGTGCAATCAATCGTCAGCAAAGTGACAGAGGGGGCTTCCATCAGCCAACCAACACCAAGCAGCCTGAGCACATTTCCTGCTCCAAAATCACCTCCCCCTTCTGATACAGCACACAGAACGTGAGAAGAAATTGAGGTGTGCGAGTCCATGACTCACGTAACCACAAGTGAACAGACAAACAGTTCTCTCAGCCTTCAAGCATTCCATCTATTGCTTTCCCTTGGTCCCGAGTGGGCTTTTTTCTGGTGCTTTGTTTTTAAAACACTTGAAGCCTTGATGTTTCTTCTGCAGTTCTCTTTCTAGGGATACATAGTAATAAGTGGAACAGTTAGGAACTTACTGGGAGGAAAACCTGTAACTCTGGGGGAAATATTTCCCACTGCATCTGAGTAAGTGAGATCCAGGCTCAGAAGGTCCTCATGCTAACTGCCATTGGCCTCAATTCACTCTGCTCATCTCCCAGCACTGCATTTCCTACCTGCAGTGTCATTCTGCTCTTCACTAGCAGTCCAATCTTGAGGTCCATGAGATTGAGGTCATTTTCAAGCTGTTCTCATAGCTCTCTTCCTGTTGTAGATCTCACTAACAGTATTTTTCTGCAAATAGAGATTCAAAGCATATTAGCTTTATTCTTTTGGCCACACTTACTGAGGGTTTTGTAGTCTTCTCCTGCTTTGTTTCCTCGGATAAAAGCTTGAGCTTTTCTAACGTCAGTTATCTAGAATGGGAAAAAAAAAACAGCCACTTATACTTGTTAAGGGCAGAGTAAAAAAAAAAAAGTGTCAGACACTGAATTCATTTCACAATCTCTTACGTGGTCTCTGAAATATTGCAGGTGATCTCTGTAACGCCTTCTGCCTTGATACATCCTGGCCAGTGACTGAATCTATAGGAAAGAATCCCAAAGCAGGGCAGATAAAAGTCTTCTCCACAAATATTGCTACCAAAAATGTTGAAGAAAAAAAAAAAAAAAAAAAAAAAAACCCAAAACCATAGCATTTGCTACCTTCACTTCTTTGTCCTTGTGTGCTCATCAGTAATCCAAATGGATTTGATTTGCTTTCCTCTGTTTATAGCCACGCCACTGGGACTGAAAACACACACAAGAAAAAAGGCGACTTTTCAAAGTGAAGAGCAGTAATTTACTACTCTATGCTTCTTTCTGCTGCTCAGTTTCCACTTCCCTTTGGCTGAATAAAATGTAACAGAGACATGCTCATCTTACAAGACATGCCGTAAGAGATATGCAGTGAAGCCTTAACTATTTCTTCCACCACCAGCTGTCGTTGTGAGGGACTTAGCAGCACCCCCCACCAAGGGCAAAACACAGCTAGAGAACAAATGACTAAAACTAAACAACCAAAAGCACCATCCATTGCACAATTCTCAATGCCATCTTCAATTCTCCAAACCCACGGACTAATGGGAAGAGGGAGAGAAGTAATTTATACATAGTGATTCCCAGGGAGAAGGAAAAGCCTTCCAATACTTTGCAAAATGAAGATAATTGTGTGTGGCAACTGCTTGACTTGAACAAAACCAGTCAGTAAGCGTGCGTGTGGAGAGCAACTGACAAGTACAAGCTTCTAACAGAATCAGTGATGCATGCAAGTGATGGCTGGAACTTGCTTCTTCAAAAACCTCATTCTGGAGTTGAATTCCTGACAGACAAGACAGCCTCGACAACGTGCCTGAAGCTTCACCATCAGGTTCTCTTTGGCCAGCCACAACTGCTCTCGCTCGTATGCTGCCGTGACTCCAGATACAGTGCTCTAGATTAGTGTTTTGGTAGGAAGAAGAGCCAGGAAGAGAAAAGGGAGATGCAAAAATGACATGTTACACAGCGGCTTCTGTGTTCTGCTCAAGAGAAACTTACAAGTTGCTTTTCGGTGAGCAGCAACACCACCGTCTTGTTCTGGTGATCAAGGTGTGCACATTCTCCACAATAGGACAAAGAGGTGCTGACGTGCAAAGTAGACAGTGAGCAGTGAAATAAGATACAAAGCTTGCTAACTTTACTACTGTGGGAAACATTACTTCTGAAAGTTGCAATAAGGCCTGAAATAGGGGCAACTTCAACTTCAGAGGAAAAGAGCACGTACTTTACCTGCATCTCCTCCCGTGACAGCTGTGTGTCATTCTGCACAAATTCCGTCGGCTCATCCCATCCTCCCTCTCTGGTCCTCACGTTATGATAATGATGACAGCCTCCTCTCACCCAGTGTTTCACCCGTTCACTGCCACTGCCTCCTGAAAGCAGAAATGCTGCTATGTTGAAAGCAAACACGTGTCTATCTTCCTCACATACAAATACTACAAGAAGGAAAAGCATGGAGAGGGCCCTTCCTCCAAGCAATAGAAGGAAGGCCGCAGATTCCAACAAACCACCACAAGAACTACCTAAGCACAATATATTCTACAAGTGGGGAATATTTCACTGCTACCTTTTTCATTTCCTTCCTACCTTTTTTTTCTTTCCTTTAACAAAGACTTCAGTTTACAAGGCAGCCTCAATTTCCTATAACATGAGATTCTAACAAGATACCCAGAACGCAAGACTGCTCCTCACATTTCTCCCCCTCTGCTTTCCATTCTACAGGCAATCATCTTGAATTTACTGCACTAGCTGGTAGCTATTGGGGTTCACCTGTGGCCACTTTTCTCCTTTCGACTTCTGCCAACTCTCGCTGGTATGTCTCTGCACACTCTGCAGCGACTCCGTACAGCCCCACATCTGGTGAGCACAAGGCACTCAGGGTAGGGCTGGTATCTCCGTGACCGACTGCTGCATTCACGGCCAGAATGCCTAAGGAAACTTCAACAACAGGAGAGGGCAGGTTACCTGCGCAGTCAGGAGCTCAGTGGCTCACAACAGACTTAAGAGAGCAAGGCACTGTGCCAGTGTACACAAATACTTTCCTGTAGTTATGCACAAAAGTACTGATTAAAAAAAGACAACTTGGTGTACAACAACCTTTTCAGTACAGTGTGCATCTGTGTATGGCACAGTGTCTGACAGCGCTTTTTTTTGTGCTCTTAGTCCTACCATGGTGCTGATTTATCAACAGTACTTCTCTACAACCTTTTATCCATTCACTCAGCTGTACTCTGACAACAGCTGTAGTCCAGGCAGCTTCTTCTTGCAGAGCCCTGCTACAGCAGACAACTGACTCAAAAAGCACCTTTCCAGTGACTGCACCGTTCCTAGCAAGAATAGCAACCTGAACACAGAACAGGTTATCAACAAGAACAAGATGAGGAAAGAGCTAACCCAGGGCTACTCCAGAACTCTGTTGCAAACACGGTACAAAATCAACCACAGGTATCTCACCGAAGCAGTAAACACGAGACACAGTCATTTTCAGCACTGAGCAAATGTCTGTTCGCACACACAGAGGTAGAAGGGTATCAGAACATCTTATTCAGGCTCAAAGAAACAGACTTTAATCCTGCTTTTGACCAAATGTTCTTTGGCACAGTCCACCTGCCAACTGCACTGATTTGTGTTGTTACCTGCACTTAGTGCAAAAAAAATAAAAAGTACTTTGAGAAATACTTCATAGAATTCAGGCAACAGTACAACACAAATGAAAGCTAAGATGCACCACAACTGTGCACATGAACATCCTCTATTGGGTTGACTACCCAACCACAGACAGACACAGTGATCTGCTAATGTCAAACACTTGGACAGAGATTCAATAGGTATCTCTGCCTAGGATGTAACACAGTCACAAGCACAACTGAAACAACGACATATGCTTCCAAAAAGATTTAAAGAATTGAAGTTTAAAGGCTGTGACATTCATTGTTGAAAGAAAAAACTTCTACACCTACCTGAAGCAAACACTTGTATTTTAATTTCCTTTGCATGTGTACATTTCTTGCTCGAGCCAAGGCACAGCTGTTTCATCCTGAGTGTCCTGAAGAGAATATGATGAGGAAAGCATTCGCAGCATGAGGAAAAGAGCGTCACTGGTTGTGCAAAACAAAACCACCACCTCTGAGCAATTGCAGCTTCAAGGGATACAGGAAGCACTTCAGTATCTTTCTAATCAATTTCAACACAAGGCCATAATGGACATTTGTTACTAGCAGAAGCAACTACAGCATTACCAGGCCAAAACTCATCTCAGGACAAGGAACTCCCACCAAGAGTTCCAGCAGTGGTATCACTCCAACAGACATCAAGGCACTGAACACTGAAACAAATGACACTGAACACATCTCCCCATATCTCCAAAAAGAAGGTACGTCTGCCACTCTGGACGTACGATTAGCTAGAGCAATCCATCTCCAGCAGTTCATATCTTGCAGCCCATCTCTGTAGTTCACCAAGATTCACGTGTTATGCCTGCATCTCTCTTTCCTTCATACAGACAGATCCAAACTGGCCAGGTAACATCAGCTGATAGCATGCAGCGTTCACCCTTTCATTTCCAGATCTGTTTCCCAGCTTTTCTCCCAACATCAGGAATGCCCTCAGTACACAGATGCAAAGGCTTCTTGACAGGTACTTTTAACTACACCCACCTGTGCTTTCTCTCTCTTAGCCCGAAGCAGTGTGCCC